CAGAAGCAGCACTCTGCGCCGAGATCCACGCTGAGCAGCAAGATATGGACCTGCAAGAAGAACGACACAAGAAGAAGGCATCAGTGCCCGAATTTGCATTCCACACTCAACGACGCTACAACAACAACAATCGGCATCAACCGAAATCAGTACCTCCGTTCTGTCACCTTTGCAAGACGTCAGGTCACCCCCGTACACAGTGCCCAAACCGGCCGCTTCGCCCTTCAAGCAGTCAAGTCGCCTCAACGCAAGCGAACCCGACTTCTCAAGTACAAGCTTCAACGATATCGACGGGACAACCTGCGCAAGGAACAAGAAACATCGTCAGTTGCATGACACGACCGACCGACTCCTGCATCACAGAGTCACCACCACATTACTCACCGGAAGAGCAACTCGATAACAGCACGCCTCGCCGCGAGTCACTTCAACCAAATCCGACGTATGCAGCCATCGCTCAAAGCGAGCCGTCCGGAAAAGATACGTGGTTCTTGGACAGCTGCTGCGGACAGCATATGTGCTCTTCAGGACGTTTTGTTCAACGTGAACACCAACTTCAACGCGAGGTCGTCATCACCGTCGCCAACAATCAGAATCTGCGCACACGACGACAAGGCGTAGTGCAACTTCAGTCACGAGAGACAAACGTTATACTGCAAATGTCAAAGGTTTTAATAGCAGAGGGACTTGGCTACAACTTACTAAGCGTCAGCCAACTAATGGCGAAGGGGATCCATCTTGAAGCAGACAGCACCACACAGGAGTTCAAGCTCTTCCACGGTCGAGGAGGACTCTACATCGGCAGAGCAGTATTGAAGAACAACGTCTTCGTCCTCGACTTCGTACCAGATCAAGGAACGGCCGATAGCGACGCCATTGTCAACTTCGCCCCCTGGACGCACCAACCGGACCTCGACCCTGACTTAAGCCCCGGAGGGTTCTGGTATTCACATACCATACCTGAAGCAGAAAGAACACGAGCATTAGCAACAATCCGACAAGAAGTAACAACATCAACAGCAGCAGAGACAACATCGGCAACACCAACAACACTTACAACACCAATCGCGAGCTCTTCGACGACATCGCCACACATCGACAACACTCCACCAACTCCTGCGCAGCAGCTAACTCCCACTCCTCGCGAAGTTCACAGAAGCGCCAACTTCACCGCCGCCTTTTACTCCAACTCCGACCTGTATCGTCGCTCACCCGGACATCGCGCCAGCGAAGACATCTGGCATGCACGAATGGGACATCCAAGCAACACGGTATTAAACAATACAATCCGAGCAGGAGTACTCGACAAAGATTCACTGCTTCTAACCGACGGAAGCGAACTTCGACGAGCGCGTGGAACGTGCTTTACCTGCCCCGAAGCTGACTTACCACATCGGCCATTCACTTCTCACCACAACCCCAGCGCACCAGCTTACGCACCACTTGAAAAAGTGTACAGCGATATCCTGTACAATCGCGAACATGGACAAGGAGCATACAGCTACACCATCACGTTCATCGATGCCGCTACGCGTTACGTTTGATACCTCAATCTTCCGAGCAAGGACATGGCCTTCGAAGCCTTCATCGCTTGGCTCCCAGTAGCAGAACGAGAATCAGATGTGAAACTAAAAAGCTTCCAGTCAGACGGCGGAGGAGAATACACCTCACAGAGGTTCAAGCAGTTCTTGGCAGAAAGAGGAATCAAGAGACTCATCTCGCTTCCTTACGCCCATCAACAGCAAGGCGTGGCTGAACGGATGAATCGAACTCTCCAGAACACCATGCGCAAATTACTGCATGGCATGCGACTGCCCAATCACCAGTGGCCTGAAGCGATGGACCATGCTGTCATGCTGCACAACTTGCTTTCGTCGTCATCACTACCGAACAACGCATCACCGCACCTGCTGTGGACAGGAAAACAGGGCAGCACAAAATTGTGAAGAGTTTTCGGCTGCATGGTACAGTACCGACCCCCATCTACACGAGCCGGCCGATTTTCCCAACGCGCACAGTGGGGACTACACCTGGGCATCGAAAGAAATTACAACGCATGGAAGATTTTCGACATCCACTCCAAAGAAACAGTAGCAGCACGTGATGTCATTTTCTACGAACGACTCACCCTTCTGACGTATCTTGCCAACCTGGAAGAGGATCGGGATCCCACAGGTGGCTTCCGTGGTGACCGACACTTCGCCTCGGCAGCAGACGAAGCTGACTGGGACGAGCAGAACGTGGATAACGCCTCGGAAGAAGCAGGACCACTCCCATACTGCTCCGTGCCTATCCCGATGGACGACGAAAATCCTCGCGAAAGCATCAACGCCGAAACTTATTTCGACTTCGCCGACACCGGTTATGTTACACCTGCAGAAGTCAACACCAACGAAGCAGAACGCATAGGGCCCAAATTCATTCCTGACCCAGAAACAGGCGACCAAGCAGCTTATCCTGCAGACACAACTCTCCCCCGCTACACACAGAGTGGCCTCCAGATACTCGGCCTAGTCACCGCGGTCCACGGCACGGAAACTCCTAAGGAGCCTGCCACAGTTCAGCAGGCTCTGGGGGGGGAGCATAAGGAAAAATGGCGTGAAGCCATGGACAAGGAACTGAAAGCACTGAAGGAGCGCAACACCTGGAAAGTTGTTCCCATCGGCGTGGCACGAAACAAAACAATACTCACCGGGAAGTGGGTCTTCCGCGTGAAAACGAAAGCAGACGGCACCATTGACAAGTTCAAGGCACGAAGGGTCATACGCGGCTTCGACCAAGAACATGGACGTGACTTCACCGAGACATTCGCTCCGGTCAGCCGACACACCTCGCTACGAATTCTTCTCGCGATCGCTGCCATGAAGAAAAAGAAACTGCGGCAAATCGACGTCGCCAATGCTTTTCTCTACGCACCTGTCGACGCCGAAATCTTCGTTGAACTCCCACACGGTTCCCATGGAGAACCAAACCAAGTCTGCCAGCTACTGAAGTCATTGTACGGTATTAAACAGGCCCCGAGACTGTGGCAGCAGTACCTACACGCTCGACTTACCCGCATCGGATTCCGGCAGCTACCGCACGACCAAGGCATGTACCGGCTCACGAAAGGTGACGACTATATCTTACTAATCGTCTACGTAGACGATCTACTCTACATAGGGTCGACGGACAACGTCACTACCTGGTTCGAAGGGGAGCTACAGAAAGACCTTACGCTCATAGTATCATCTACCGTCACGCAATATCTCGGCCTAAACATTCAGGAAGACGAAAACGCGATCTACCTCAACGCTTCAAAGTACGCCGACGCCATCGCCAAACGCTTCTCACTTACGCCGGCCACCATCTCTACGCCATACCGCTACACGGCAGGAAACAACAAGGAAGGATTCGCTCCACTAAGATCCACCGACATACGCAACTACCAGAGGAAGCTGGGATGCCTCCTCTTCGCAGCTGTTACTTGTCGTCCAGATCTATCGTACTCCGCAAGCCAGTTCGCAACCTACCTCAAGAGACCTGAAGGAGAACACATGGCCGAACTCGACCGTGCTCTCCACTATCTCGTCTGCACCGCAACCGTCGGTCTAAGCTACCACAAGAACGGAACCACGATACCTAAACTAATCGGCTACGTCGACGCAGATCACGCCGGCGATCCCGATAACAGACGCTCACGCACCGGCTACATCTATCGCCTTGAACCTATCGGACCTATTTCCTGGCAATCGAGCAAGCAAGAACTAATCGCTCTCTCCTCAGCTGAAGCTGAATATATCGCACTTTGCTCAGCCACCAAGGAAGGACTGTACCTTCGCGAACTTTTGGAGGAGGCAAAGCTGGCTCAGTTACCCAGCTTCTCCTTGTTCTGCGACAACCAGTCGGCAATTCGCATCGCCAACAAAAACGGGTTCGCGAACAGGACGAAACATATCGCCCTGCGATATTTCTTCGTAAAGGACGAGATCGAGAAGGGGAGACTTGAGCTGTCTTACTGTCCCACATCCGAGATGGCAGCTGATTACTTAACCAAGAAGCTCGGAAAGTCGAAGTTCGAATATTGCATGCTGCTGACTGGACAAAACCACGTCATCAGCAGCGACACTCCAGAAGCGAAGGGGAGTGTTGGAAACAAGTGATTTATAGCGCTTCTGTCGTATCGAAGCTGCGACACAAAACGGAACTGACTACAGCGAAGAAGCACGCGAGTCAACTGTCGGAGGTTACGCGAAGGTCAAAGGTCCCCGACCTTTGACCTGACGAAATGTACAGTGCGACAGCAAAGGACACATAACTGACTCGTTACAGAGCAGTTACCCGAGTCGGCACTGTATCGAACCGCAACAGCAACAGTAAAACGGTTATTAACCGTATCTCTTCATATTCCTTGTATTCTTATAAAAGCCTGTATCTCTTTGTTTTTAATTAATCAACTTTGCCCTCACATACCAGCGCAAGGTGGTTCACAAGTCTTTTATTAAACGCTTCCGCTATTACATTGCCCTACCCTGAATTTGGTCCTGCAAAGATCCTAAGGGCTTTCTCAGCCCAACACGAACAACGGTTGCGACTGTACGCGATGTTGACGGTCGCAGTAAGGAATAGCGAGAAAAATCCTTACATTAACAAACAACAAACCAAGCCAAGCCACAGTTCAAAACGTTCACATTTTTAAGGTGCATTTCTAGTGCTTCTAATTGAAATCCTTGATACAGGATAATCCAGAATCTCCAGCAGCCAGCAAGCAGCAGCCAGGAACCAGATCCACCTGAGTAGACTCTCAACGCCTGGCTAGATGCTGGCAAAAAGAAGTTAGCCTACTACAGTACAGTAACTGTACATCAAATGTTTACAGCACCAATTTGGGATTGCACAATATTGAATGGAACACGTCCATGTTAGTATAATATGCAGGAATCTATTGTAACAATGTACGGTACCATACTTCAAATTGAGCTGGTTCGGCTCAAGTGCACATACCTTAGAAACAAGGATCGCTACCATGTCTCTGTCCAAGGGTTGTGAGGGAGAGGCGCCGCCGCGCCGCTGCTGTGGAGGGTTGTGAGGGAGAGGCGCCGCTGCTCTGGGGGATTGTGAGGAAGAGGCTCCGCTGCTCTGGAGGGTTGTGAGGGAGAGGCGCCACTGCTGTGGGGGGTTGTGAGGGAGAGACGCCGCTGCTCTGGGGGGTTTGTGAGAGAGGGGCGCCGCTGCTCTGGGGGGTTGTGAAAAAGAGGCGCCACTGCTCTGGGGGGTTGTGAAAGAGAGGTGCCGCTGCTCTGGGGGGTTGTGAGGGAGAGGCGCCGCTGCCCTGGGGGATTGTGAGGAAGAGGCGCCGCTGCTCTCGGGGGTTGTGAGGAAGAGGCGCCGCTGCTCTGGGGGGTTGTGAAAGAGAGGGGCCGCTGCTCTGGGGGGTTGTGAGGGAGAGGCACCGCCGCTGTAGAGGGGTGTGAGGGAGAGGCGCCGCTTCTCTGGGGGGTTGTGAGGGAGAGGAGGCATGCAAACACACACATACACATACACACATACCCACAGACACACATACACACATATGCACATGCACACACATCAATCCTCACAGACACACATACACACAATGACTGGAGCTCACTGACTGGAGCTCACTGACTGGAGCACACTGACTGACTGGAGCTCACTGACTGGAGCTCACTGACTCACTGACTGGAGCTCACTGACTGACTGGAGCTCACTGACTGGAGCTCACTGACTGGAGCTCACTGATTGGAGCTCACTGACTGGAGCTCACTGACTGGAGCTCACTGACTGGAGCTCACTGACTGGAGCTCACTGACTGGAGCTCACTGACTGGAGCTCACTGATTGGAGCTCACTGACTGGAGCTCACTGACTGGAGCTCACTGATTGGAGCTCACTGACTGGAGCTCACTGACTGGAGCTCACTGACTGGAGCTCACTGACTGGAGCTCACTGACTGACTGGAGCTCACTGACTGGAGCTCACTGACTGACTGGAGCTCACTGACTGACTGGAGATCACTGACTGGAGCTCACTGACTGGAGCTCACTGATTGATTGGAGCTCACTGAGTGGAGCTCACTGACTGGAGCTCACTGACTGGAGCTCAATGACTGGAGCTCATTGACTGGAGCTCACTGACTGGAGCTCACTGACTGACTGGAGCTCACTGACTGGAGTTCACTGACTGGAGCTCACTGACTGGAGCTCACTGACTGGAGCTCACTGACTGGAGCTCAATGACTGGAGCTCACTGACTGGAGCTCACTGACTGGAGCTCACTAACTGACTGGAGCTCACTGACTGGAGTTCACTGACTGGAGCTCACTGACTGGAGCTCACTGACTGACTGCAGCTCACTGACTGGAGAATTCTCAGAAGTGATTTCCATGTTCGATGCTTGCGTCTGAACAGGAATGAATGCCATTCCTTACTGCATCTCCTTTTTCATCTTCCCCGCTCTTGTTGGCGGTTCATCTTTGGTTTGAGTTGTTGTGTATGTGTGCTGTGCTGATTGTCTTCAAAAGAATCTAGTGGGAACGGTTTTCTGCACCATGTAGTAACCAGTCATATACTTGTTCATACAGGGATAATCGAGCTCCTTCGGAACTGCACACTAACATTGGTCATAGATTCTATCTCGCAGTTTTTTTAACACAACGCTCAGTCTCCCATCGTTACAGTCTTTACCGAGCCAATTGTTCCCAACAATGTCTGTTATTCGAGAGGGGAGGCGACACACCTTGTGCCAGCGCCATCGCTGCCATCCCCCGCACCTGCTGCGCCACCAGCGCCTGCTCCAAGCTACCGTTCATCCGCAGCAGCACCACGTTGCACGTGCCGCAACACCAGGCCAACCACGAGCTGCCACGTCATTTCAGCTCGTCCCCCTCTGTCTGCCTCTTGCACTCAACACCACACACCACACACACCATACAACACATTATACACACACAGTGCACACACCACACACCACTCACACACACACACACATTACACACCCCACACACATACACCACCATACTCACCTAATACACCACACACCCCACACACCAAATACCACACAGACACACACAAACAGACCAACCACACCACACACACCACATTCAGAACACACACCACACACCAGACACACACCCACATACACAGCACACAATACACAGCACACAATACACAGCACACAATACACAGCACACAATACACAGCACACAATACACAGCACACAATACACAGCACACAATACACAGCACACAATACACAGCACACAATACACAGCACACAATACACAGCACACAATACACAGCACACAATACACAGCACACAATACACAGCACACAATACACAGCACACAATACACAGCACACAATACACAGCACACAATACACAGCACACAATACACAGCACACATCACAGAGGGGACATCACACACATCACACACCACACTGTGAAGAATTGAAAAAAAATGATTAGTTCCATTAGAAGGACAAGCATACATAGGTTTGGAAGAGAAGGTTGGAAGGGAAAAGGAGGGAGGTGGGATTGGAGAGTGGGCCAACCTATGGCCCATTGGGTTGGGTTGACCACACTTGGGAAGTGGGCCAACCTACGGCCGATTGGGTTGGGTTGACCACACTTAGGGAAGTGGGGCAACCTATGGCCCAATGGGTTGGGTTGGCCTCACTTTGTGAAGTGGGGTACCCTATGGCCCATAGGGTTGCATTTGGGGGCTCCACCACAATTGGGTTGGATTGGCACCCCAAAATGCAAGACTACACCCAAAGTTGGGTGTAGTCCCAACCCAACTGTACACCACAATTGGTGTACAGTCACAAGTGTTAGCATACTAGAACATAGGATTTCTAACACACACTCGCACCACGCACACAGCGCTCACACCCAGATACAGGCAGTCTTGAACGAGGTAAAAGAGGGGAAGGGAAGGAGGGAGGGGGGTTGAAGTGCAAGCAGTGGCGACGAGACAGAGCAGGGAATAAGACAAGGTGAGGGGAGGGGAAGAGCACGGCGAATGGGATGGGATGGGGTGCATGGGCTGAGGCGCATGGGAAGAAGGGCTGTGATGTCCGAGAAACAAACAAGTAGCAAGAACGAGCAACCAATGGTACAATGTGACGCCCGTCCCACATCCTTCCCTCCCTCTCCACCCCCCACTGTCTCCAGCTTCCAGTCCCAAACCCCACCTCTCATACCCCCACAGCCGAATCCCCGCCTCCGTCCCACGGATTGATGAGGGTGGCGAGGAATTAAAAGCCTATGGAGAAGCTTCTGTGGCAACCCCACCCGAGGCGAGAGCGACACGCACCTTGCGCAGCAGCAAGCGATGCACTCCACAACCCTTGAGGGAATAAGATGAGCAGAAAAGCTGATTACCAAGGGGATAGATTTGTATCATTTCTCAAACCCAAAGTGAAGGCAGAGCGAAAGCAACAATGGGTAAGAAACATACGCAAGAGCAAGAGTAGGAAGAGCTCGTAGCCGACTGCAGCCTCCCCAACCACCTACTCCGCTGCAGCACAGGCCCTGACAGAACACGCACACACAACCAGCTGGCTTTCGCCGTGGCTAAAATGGCGAGGGAGGCACAGCTGGTGGTATACCTGGAAAACGTGATGTACTCACCACCGGATGACCCGAAGAAGGCAGATGTGATTGTACGTGACCCAGATAGTGGTGAGACATGGATCACAGACACGACCATCACTGACCCCGTGCTACAGAACCGTGACCCAGCAGCCCGCAAACCCCCTGGATGGGCTGCAAGGGAGGCTCAGAAAAGGAAGGAACGAGACTACTACAGGCACACAGAACACGTGGTGTTCTGCGCCCTAGCCGTTGAGACCTATGGGGCAAACACACCCCCCACGACGGCGTTCCTGAAGCTGCTGGCCACAGCAGCAGCTAGGAACCGCTTCAGGGCCAATCCCTTGGCGAAAACCGCCAAGAAAATGGCCTGCCACTTCAGCCAGCGTTGGTCAGTGGCCCTCCAGCGCTCTCAAGCGAATGCCCTGCACACCAAGGCCAGGACAGGGATCGAGGCGGCGCACCCCCAGATGGCAGCAGACCCATGGCCGCTGCACCTGGGGGACATCCTCCACACACTGGAAGGGTAGAGGGTCACTGAGGGGGGAGGAAGGTCAGAGGGATGGGCCAATGGGGCAGAGGGTCTAAAGGGAACCACAAATCAAACCGTATGCTTGTACCCCCGCTGAATTAATACAAAGGACCATTTGAGTAGGAAGAGGAGAGGAGGGTGTGAAATGCGAGGATTAGAGACTGGCAAGTGCGTGGGGAGGGGGGAACGGGCATGGCAGTAGCAGAGCAGAGCAATGGCAGCAGTAAAACGAAGCAGCGAGGGGTGAGTGGGGAAGAGAGGAATTGACCCACCCAACGCTGCTCTGGGGGGTTGTGAGGGAGAGGCGCCACTGCTGTGGGGGGTTGTGAGGGAGAGGCGCTGCTGCTCTGGGGGGTTGTGAGGGAGAGGCGCCGCTGCTCTGGGGGGTTGTGAGGGAGAGGCGCCGCTGCTCTGGGGGGCTGTGAGAGAGAGGCGCCGCTGCTCTGGGGGGGTGTGAGGGAGAGGCGCCGCTGCTATGGGGGGGTGTGAGGGAGAGGCGCCGCTGCTCTGGGGGGTTGTGAGGGAGAGGCGCCGCTGCTCTGTGGGGTTGTGAAGGAGAGGCGCCACTGCTCTGGGGGTTTGTGAGGGAGAGGCGCCGCTGCTCTGGGGGGCTGTGAGGGAGAGGCGCCGCTGCTGTGGGGGGTTGTGAGGGAGAGGCGCCGCTGCTCTGGGGGGTTGTGAGAGAGAGGCGCCGCTGCTCTGGGGGGTTGCGAGGGAGAGGCGCCGCTGCTCTGGGGGGTTGTGAGGGGTGAGCAGGGCATGCGCAGGGCAGGCACACGGCAGCGCGTGAGTGGCGTGCGCCATCCCGCTGCCCTCCCTGCTCTCTCGAGGCCACCACTGCCGCCTCCAGCCTCTGCAGTCGCTGCCACGCCAGAGGGCTGCACTCCACACGCCTTGAGGGAAAGGGATGGGCAGACACGGCGCTGGGGCATGGCGATGCAATGGAGGGCAGCGAGAAAGCAAGAGTAGAGCCAACGTGCAGCAGGCGCAACAAGGACGTGACGCCTTGCTCAACTCTTACAACATAACTCTCTGAAGTTAAAAGGTTCATACAACAACTTCAAGTTGAAAGTTAGCATTTTATCAATTTGTCATTGATAGCAACTCATCTACCACATCAAGATGTTGGAGACGTCTCTAGGTATAACCACATGGCAATGAAATTACTACCACCTATCGTATCTACGGTACCATCCCGTCACCTTCACCTCATCCTTGGTTCTGAGGTTTTTGCTGGCTGAAGACTGAAGCCAAGGACGCAGCCTGAGCAATGTCAATGCTAATGATGGCATGACACAATGACATGCCACACCATAGCATGCCGCACCGAGAATGCCACACCATAACATGCCGCACCATGACCTCATGCACTGTAGCATGCCACGCCATGCCATCAAGCACTATGACATGCCACACAAATTCATGCCACGGGATTTCACGCCTCTTCTGTTCTTATCCCACACACACATCCCCTTCTGAAAATATAAATCCCCTTCTTTCCACCCTTTTCCAGATTATCTCTTTATTCCACTCACCCATCTTCCTCTGGGGGTTTCAGCCCCCTCTCTCCTTATCCCACTCACCACCTTCCTCTAGAAGCTTCAGCCCTCCTATCTCCTTAACGCACTCACCCACCGCATTCTGGAAGTTTCAGGCCCCCTATCTCCTTATCCCACTCACCCAGCTTCTTATGGGGGTTTCAGGCCCTCACTCTCTTTATCCCACTCCCCCACCTTCCTCTGCAGGTTTCAGCACCCATCTCTCCTTATCCCACTCACCCAGCTTCGTCAAAAAGCTTCAGCCCTACTCACCTTATCCCATTCTCCCACCTTCCTTTGAAAGTTTCTGCCCTACTCTCTCCTTATCCCTCTCACCCAGCATCATTTGGAGGTTTCAGCCCCACACTCTCCTTTTGCCATGCACCCACCTTCCTCTGAAGGTTTCAGCCCCCATCTCTCCTTGTTCCACTACCTCAACAACTGAAACAGGTGGCATTAGAGCCATATGTGCCACCAACCAAGCATGAGCAACATGCTCTCATGCAACAGGTGGCATCAGTGCCATACGGCACATCTCATCATTTGCCACCAACCAAGCATGAGATGCTCTCATCCAATGCAACAGGTGGCATCAGTGCCATACGGTACATCTCATCATGTGCCACCAACCAAGCATGAGATCCTCTCATGCAATGCAACAGGTGGCATCAGTGCCATACGGCTCATCTCATCATGTGCCACCAACCAAGCATGAGATGCTCTCATGCAATGCAACAGGTGGCATCAGTGCCATACGGCTCATCTCATCATGTGCCACCAACCAAGCATGTGATGCTCTCATGCAATGCAACAGGTGGCATCGGTGCCATACGGCTCATCTCATCATGTGCCACCAACCAAGCATGAGATGCTCTCATGCAATGCAACAGGTGGCATCAGTGCCATACGGCTCATCTCATCATGTGCCACCAACCAAGAATGAGCACCATGCATACATGTTCCCCCACCAGCCCCACTGCCTCTCATCACCATCACCACCAGACCCACCCAGCCCCACCCATCCTCACCTGGCAGCAGTAGGAGCAGCAGACAGCCCACTCCCTTTCGAGAACAGCAACCCCAGGCGCTGTGACTTGTGAGTCAAGGTGTGGCAGTGAAAAATCGCTTCCAGCCCAAGACTCAAATCCCACCCCCGACGTAGCTAGAGCTGACGCGAACCAGAGTCGCCGGCCGGTCGACTCTGACGGTGTCCATTAAGCCTTAAACGCCGGATCGGTTACTTGAGCACCGAGTGCCGTGCCGCGAAGATTTCACCAACCACACACCACAGCCACAAGCCACAACTCCAAAGGATGCTGCCCCTAAGGCCCCCACTTGCTCCCATGCTTCCCACCCACCCACGCCACGCTTCACCCCCATGCCTCCTTACTTGTACCTACCACAGCTGTGCAGAGCGCCATGATGCCTGAGGCTGCTGGGAAGTGGGAGTGGGGGATTAAATGGGGGCGGGACTCCACTGCGGTCCAGGAAGGATGCTGCTGCGAGGGGAGGGAAGTGGAAGAGAGGAGGAGGGAAGTGAGAAGCTGGCCTTCGCTCTCCTGCCATTGCTCCAGTGCTCCCACCATCAGCCCGCAAGAGCGGAGACGGGGAGGAAAAAGAGGAGGGGATGACAACACCATACCTAACCTGGACCATACCTTACCTGTACCGTACGTGACCTCTTACCACACCTCACTCACGACTATTCTATCCTAACCTGCCCTCTACCCTCCACCCCCCACCGCTGCAACCGCTGGTTCTGCTGCTGCAACTGCTGCTGCCGGTCTGCTTCTCAGCTACATCTGCTGCACTCTTCGCTTCATTCTGAGTGACCTGGTGGCGGGCACAGAAGGGAGGGGAGGGGGGCACAGGAGAGGAGGGGTAGGAGTAGTGGTGAGTTGGCAGAAAGTCACAGAAGACAATAAAGTGAGTGTGACAGATACGAGCATGGAAAGCGTGAAGAGAGAGCAACAGCAGTGACGACCTTGACGGGGGGAGAGAGATGAGGCCAAGGAGGTAGAGAACGCACCTTGAGAGGCCAAGCCCATCCCCATACTCTCCCTCGTGGCAGCTGCATTACTGTCGCCCTCCGAGCACTGCTTGATGCTGAGTGACCTGGTGGTGGGCAGGGAAGGGAGGGGAGGGGGACACAGGAGAGGAGGAGCAGGAGTAGTGGTGAGTTGAAAGAAAGGCACTGAAGACACTAAAGAGAGAGTGACAGATACGAGCATGGGAAATGTGAAGAGAGAGCAACAGCAGTGACGAACTTGATGGGGGGGGAGAGACGAGGCCAAGGAGGTAGAGAACGCACCTTGAGAGGCCAAGCCCATCCCCATACTCTCCCTTGTAGCAGCTGCAGTACTGTCGCCCTCCCACCCCCGCAGGTACCTGCACGGCCACCGGGGAGGGGCGTGAGGTAGCGTTGGTGTTGACCCCCACGCCCCTCCCCTCCACCTGCAATGCACACACGCAGAGCTGGTGAGTGGAGAGCGAGGGGATGAAGGGTCCTGTTGCAGCAGAGACAGCACAATCTGCAAGAGAAGTGAGGGGAGGGGCCACTGATTGAGCCACTGCCATGCGCCATAGACCCCCAAGGGTACCTGAGAGGCTGAACCTGGGGGGGTTGTAAAACCTGAGAAAGGCTGAACCTGAGGGGATTACCTGGACTGTGGGGAAGGGGTCTATGGCTTGTGAGCTGGACCCAACCAGTGGCGAGATTTCAAAGAACAAACTGAAGCACATGCAGAACAAGCAAAGCGGAATAAGCAATGAGCAGCAGAAAGGGCAGGAGCCATGGAGGAGCTGGAAATTTGCAGAGCTGATGCCGACCTTCCTCCCAGCCTCCCCGTGCACGCCCCTGCATGGCCACTGGGGAGGAGCGTGGAGTAGCGTCGGTGTTGACCCCCACGCCCCTCCCCTCCACCTGCAATGCACACAAGGAGAGCTGGTGAGTGGAGAGCGAGGGAATAGAGGGTGATACTGCAGCAGAGACAGCGCATTCCGCACACAAGTGAGGGGAGGAGCCACTGGTGGAGGTGTCGCCACAAGCCATAGACCCCCAAGGGCACCTTAGAGGCTGAACCTGGGGGGGCTGTAAGACGATAGGGAGTCTGAACCTGAGTGAGTTACCTGGACTGTAGGGGAGGGGTCTATGGCATGTGAGCTGGGCCGAACCAGTGGCGGAACTTTCAAGAGAAAAGAACAAGTGAAGTCAAGCTGAGCAATGAGCAGCAGAAAGGACGGGTTTCAGGGAGGAGAGAGCACTTAGCTGGAAAGTTGCAGAGCTGATGCCGACCTCCATTGCACCTCCATTGCACCTTCCTGTGTGCGCGGCCACCGGCGAAGGGTGTCGGTGCTGACCTCCACGCCCCTCCCCTCCACCTGCTAGGCACACATGCAGCAGAGGTCAGATCGCTTGGAATGGCCGGCAGCACAAGCACACACTGGAAACTGCTATGTGTAGAAGAAGGGGGGAGGCGCCACTGGAGGAGGCACGGCCACAAGCCACAGACAGCAAGGGGGACATGCAGGGGCTGTAAGGGGTGTACCTGAACCTGAGGGGTGTACCTGCACCTGAGGGGTACCTGCACCTGAGGGGTGTACCTGCACCTGAGGGGTGTACCTGCACCTGAGGGGTGTACCTGCACCTGAGGGGTTACCTGAAGTAGGAGGGTCTGTCGCATGTGAGCTGGCCCAACCAGTGGCGAAGTTCAGAGATTAACACATGAAGCTGAATGATGAGCACTTCAAAACAAAAGGCAACGGCCAAGGGAGGAAACACTTAGCTGGAAATCTGAAGTCGTGGCTGCCCTTTTGCTCATACTGCTGGCCCCTCACGGGTACCCGCTCGAGGATCCGCACGGGAAGGAGTGTGGGCGAGTGGCGGTGCATGTTGCCATGCGCCTCCCCTGCCTCCTCACTCGCCAACGCCGCCAGCACATGTCTTGGTTCCTTGCATGGGCACACGTATAGATGCACACACGCAGAGGACAACCAGCTTGCACTGGTAACGGCTTGAAAATGACCAGGACACAACTGCACAAAAGCAACGACGCGACTCACTATTTGGCGGACCTATGGACTTAGTCGCCCCCGCAAGAGCACAACCCACAGCCTCACCTTCGGGAATTCGAGCAGCAGCAGAGCAACGCCGCTGCTGCCACGCGCACACCAGGCTGCAACGTCCATCCGCGGATGTAACAACGCCATCCGCGGATGCAGCAATTCCGTCCGCGAGTGCAGCAATTCCGTCCGCGAGTGCAGCAATTCCGTCCGCGAGTGCAGCAATTCCGTCCGCGAGTGCAGCAATTCCGTCCGCGAGTGCAGCAATTCCGTCCGCGGATGCAGCAAGGCTGTCCGCGAATGCAGCAATTTCGTCCGCGAATGCAGTAATTTCATCCGCGGATGCAGCAATTCCGTCCGCGGATGCAGTAAACGCCGTCCGCGAATGCAGCACGTCGTTCGATGCAGCAAGGTCGACCGGGCGCTAGCGGCGTTGGGGCTGCCAGGCCTGCACTGGAGGGGGAGACGCAAACAAAACGTTCAATGCGAGTGCAGTTCCAGCGCTGAGGGAAGAATAGGTGTACGGATGCGTGTGAAAAACTCACCATGCGTGCGAGTATATTCCATCACCCATGGCCGCCTTTCCATGCTCGCGCTTCTAAATGTTCGTCCATGCTCGTTCGTTTTCGGTCGGTCTTTCGATGTTGAACGATGCTCCGTGATACCGCAAATTCCTACGCGAAATCGTACCGCGTCTCTCACTTCCGTCTTTCGCACAACAGCTCATCCCTTCTAAAAATCGTAAAAGCTGGATTCTGAGAATCGGGAAAGCTCGGAGTTGTCGCTACAAAATTCCGTGGTCTGCAGAAGCTTAATTCCATTCTCCGCGCTGCCGAAACGTGACACTCCTTCGCTTCCTACATTAACTGCGGGGACACTCGCATCCTGATTCAAGCTGGGACAGAAAATCAAGAGAGGCATTCGGTTTTGACGGAACTAGTAGCTACTGGCATTTGGAGCTGAAAAGGCTGGAAATGTCGAGTTGCGAGACGATTAGGCTTGTGAATTCTGCTGTGATGAGGCAAATGAGGTTGTCATTCGGGAAGGAGGTGGCGCTCGAAAATGCGTGAGAACGAGTTGGGAAGGGCCTCGCATGGTACTGGAGAGACCCCACCAAGGCCTACCTAGGCTCGACCAACCGCTCCAGCTTTCCCAACCAAATGGATGGCCAACCGCGAGCGGCGAAAGGTTTGGAAGCTCTTCCAGACCAACCTAACGTTCAGATCATTACCCTACTTGTTCGAATTCTCCCGCGGGAAAAAAGGTTCGAACCCTCTTGTGGCATAACAACTGGTTGGCGTAGATTCGCCGACAGAAACGAACCTCCTAGCCCAGGCAAGAGCGGTTTGGTGCAGCATCTATTGCAGAGGCTTGGGGGAATTTTAGTCGTTGTGGGACTGTGAGGATGCTGATGAGTCTGGCGGGAGGAGCTGATTTGGTTAGAAAATCTGACAAGCAGCGCTTTTGCGGGGTGGGGGGAGGTTTTGACGAACAGCTTGAGAAGAACCTGCTGTAACATATGATGCAATGGTCCTCGGTGCATCGCAATGGTGTCACGAAATACGCGAAAATCCCATCGCCTCTGTTACTGGCAGTGGCAGTAGAAGGTCACAGATCTTGTTGTCCCCACTTGTCAGAAGGCTGACCAATGATATTGGGCTACCATTCATACAAGATTGAGGTAGACCGTTATACTTATTGTACTGCAAACAAATACCGAACCCGGTAAAACCAAGCCCCCTCTTGCAACAATTTCTGCACCAACAATTAGTCGTCCACGTGGCTTTGTGCTGCAAACTACAGGGAACTGGGAAGTGAGCTTTGCGGGCTTGGTCAGGCCCGAACGTAAAGTGCCACAAACGAACAGCTTCGGGTTCTCCTAAGGTCTCTGAATCTTTAGTATAATAAAAAGCATTTGGTTCTGGGTTCGAGTGCTGGTTTTTCTGCGTATCATAAATTGCAGTTGGGTAAAAAACTGTCACAGCACATTAGTATCGGGCAATCGCCATTGGTTTTGGCGGGAATGGTAGCTTTCAGACGGGCAAGCCAGTACGTGCCATTTCCGTGGTGTTTTTCATGGGACTAATGGGTAGGTGCTCTGTGGACACTGGAGTTGGCCATCAGCATTGATTCGTAGTTGATCACATTCATCGATTCCTGAACTCAACGGCTCAATGGACAGGAACTTGTGCTAAGTAGGAATATCCTGTACGAGCTAGATCATACAGTTGAAGGGACGGCGATCGAGATTTGAACGCCAAGATGTTGTCTGGGTTCTCTAAGATCCTTGCGAGCACCGCCGCTTCGATAGAGAAAACCGTCCAGGTGTGTTGGGCCTTCCGTCCCCTACGGTATAACCTTCTCTGATTCTTCATATTTCGGGTCTGGCCGTAGTTCTGACGTCAGCATCGGTGCAATTAGGGTTAGCTGTTGCGGTATCAATGTCTGAGTATCCACCCACGTTTCTCTGTTGCCTGTGCATGTGCGTGCCAGAGCACGGTTCAGGAGGTCACAGGGCCCAAGGCGTTGGCCGACTATGACCTCGGCGAGCAGGTGCGTTTTCCGCCCTTGATCCGTCTTGAGCCTTTATTCAATCGCAGCCGTTCCTTCCCTGTAATCGAAGCGCGAACCAACTATCAGTTGCGCGCAAGTGGGATGGAAACCACCGATTTTTTTTTATCAGTGCCTACGGCACCTACGGCAATAGGATAAGCGATGCTCAAGTGGAGGTACACGAGTTGGCGTGACGAATCCGCGTGGCAATGCTGTGCGTGTCCCTCATGGTCAATGCGCAGATCGGGTCGGGCGGGCCGGGCATGCTGTGGAAGCTGTACCGCGCGACGCCCAAGAGCAAGGCGCAGCAGACGGTGACGTCGGAGGTGTGCGTGTGGTTCCTCGACAAGAAGGAGCTCTCGGAGGAGCGCTCACACCGCGGCATGAGGTCCGTGGGGAGGGGAGGGAGGGGGGGAACAGGGGAGCAGTGGAGTGAGGTAGATGCGTCCGCGATCGTAGAAGCGCATTCCGCTTTCCGTTGCTCCGTCCGACCTCGGACGCGCATTCCCAGCGACCCCTTTCCCGTATTTGCCCTGCGCGGACGCTTTAACCCCGCGCCTCGCGCGCACCCCGCGCTGTTCCCCCGCTCCCGCGCGCAGCAAGGCGGCGGAGGACCGGCTGCTGGACATATTCCGCGCGGACGCGAAGGTGCTGCAGAAGCTGCGGCACCCGGGGATCGTGCGCGTGGTGGAGGCGCTGGACGAGAGCAAGTGGGCCATGGCCATGGTCACCGAGCCCGTCTTCTCCTCCCTCGCCAACGCCCTCGGCAACCTCGAGAACCTCACCACCATCCCTCATGAGCTTGAAAAACTGGAGCTGGGGCAGCTGGAGGTGAAGCACGGGCTGATGCAGCTGGCGGAGACGCTGAGCTTCATCCACCGCAACGCCAACATCATCCACCGCGGCATCAACCCCGAGGTACCACACCAAACCAGCCAACCAAGCCATCATGTGCGTCCCATTGGGCTCAACCTAACACGTGTGTCGCAGAAGCGCCACGTGTGTCCATCCTAGAAGCGCCACATGTGTCCATCCCAAAAGCGCCAAAAACGCGTTTCCGTGTTGATTCCTCGCCTGATTATCTACATTCTGAACTATCATGGATGGCGAATTAGCAATGGCTATGGCCCACATGTGCTTGTTCTGGTGCTAATTCTGCCTGCGCCGCACTCCTCCCCCACCCACCCCCCCACCCGTCCCCCCAACCCGCGCGTGCATCACGGTGCACAGACAGTGTTCATCACAAAGAATGGCGGGTGGAAGCTGGCCGGGTTTGGCTTCTCCGTGCCTGCTGACCAACAGCCTGACCCCGATGAACCCGCCTTCCTCTACCCTGTCAGTGCCCGCTCCCACCATGCACGCACCCATCACTGCGCACATCATGCTTGCACACATCATCCTTCCCCCCATATTCTTCCCCTTCTCTGCGCTCGCTGACCAACAACTTGACCTGATGAACCCGCCTTCCTCTACCCTGTCAATCACACCCATCACTACGCGCACCCATCACTGCACACGTCATGCTTCTTGCACACATCGTCCATGCATGATGCACCAATTCTTGCACTCATCATCCGTGCATCCATCATCCTCCCTCCCATATCCTTCCCCTCATCCTTCAATCTTCCCACCATCATCTCTCTCCCAGATTCCTCTCCCCATCATCCTCTCCCCATCATCCGTTTCCCATCATCCGTTTCCCATCATCCTTTTCCCATCATCCGTTTCCCATCATCCGTTTCCCATCATCCGTTTCCCATCATCCGTTTCCCATCATCCGTTTCCCATCATCCTTTTCCCATCATCCGTTTCCCATCATCCGTTTCCCATCATCCGTTTCCCATCATCCTTTTCCCATCATCCGTTTCCCATCATCCGTTTCCCATCATCCGTTTCCCATCATCCGTTTCCCATCATCCGTTTCCCATCATCCTTTTCCCATCATCCGTTTCCCATCATCCGTTTCCCATCATCCGTTTCCCATCATCCGTTTCCCATCATCCGTTTCCCATCATCCGTTTCCCATCATCCGTTTCCCATCATCCGTTTCCCATCATCCTTTTCCCATCATCCTTCTCCCATCATCCGTTTCCCATCATCCGTTTCCCATCATCCGTTTCCCATCATCCGTTTCCCATCATCCGTTTCCCATCATCCTTTTCCCATCATCCGTTTCCCATCATCCTTTTCCCATCATCCGTTTCCCATCATCCTTTTCCCATCATCCGTTTCCCATCATCCGTTTCCCATCATTCGTTTCCCATCATCCTTTTCCCATCATCCTTTTCCCATCATCCGTTTCCCATCATCCGTTTCCCATCATTCGTTTCCCATCATTCTTTTCCCATCATCCTTTTCCCATCATCCGTTTCCCATCATCCGTTTCCCATCATCCGTTTCCCATCATCCTTTTCCCATCATCCGTTTCCCATTATCCGTTTCCCATCATCCGTTTCCCATCATCCGTTTCCCATCATCCGTTTCCCATCATCCTTCTCCCATCATCCGTTTCCCATCATCCTTTTCCCATCATCCTTTTCCCATCATCCGTTTCCCATCATCCGTTTCCCATCATCCTTTTCCCATCATCCTTTTCCCATCATCCGTTTCCCATCATCCTTTTCCCATCATCCGTTTCCCATCATCCGTTTCCCATCATCCTTTTCCCATCATCCGTTTCCCATCATCCGTTTCCCATCATCCGTTTCCCATCATCCGTTTCCCATCATCCGTTTCCCATCATCCGTTTCCCATCATCCGTTTCCCATCATCCTTTTCCCATCATCCGTTTCCCATCATCCGTTTCCCATCATCCGTTTCCCATCATCCGTTTCCCATCATCCGTTTCCCATCATCCTTTTCCCATCATCCGTTTCCCATCATCCGTTTCCCATCATCCTTTTCCCATCATCCGTTTCCCATCATCCGTTTCCCATCATCCGTTTCCCATCATCCGTTTCCCATCATCCGTTTCCCATCATCCTTTTCCCGTCATCCGTTTCCCATCATCCTTTTCCCATCATCCGTTTCCCATCATCCGTTTCCCATCATCCGTTTCCCATCATCCTTTTCCCATCATCCGTTTCCCATCATCCTTTTCCCATCATCCGTTTCCCATCATCCGTTTCCCATCATCCGTTTCCCATCATCCTTTTCCCATCATCCGTTTCCCATCATCCGTTTCCCATCATCCGTTTCCCATCATCCGTTTCCCATCATCCGTTTCCCATCATCCGTTTCCCATCATCCGTTTCCCATCATCCGTTTCCCATCATCCGTTTCCCATCATCCGTTTCCCATCATCCGTTTCCCATCATCCGTTTCCCATCATCCGTTTCCCATCATCCGTTTCCCATCATCCGTTTCCCATCATCCTCTCCCCATCATCCGTTTCCCATCATCCGTTTCCCATCATCCGTTTCCCATCATCCTTTTCCCATCATCCGTTTCCCATCATCCGTTTCCCATCATCCGTTTCCCATCATCCTTTTCCCATCATCCGTTTCCCATCATCCGTTTCCCATCATCCGTTTCCCATCATCCGTTTCCCATCATCCGTTTCCCATCATCCGTTTCCCATCATCCGTTTCCCATCATCCGTTTCCCATCATCCGTTTCCCATCATCCGTTTCCCATCATCCGTTTCCCATCATCCGTTTCCCATCATCCGTTTCCCATCATCCGTTTCCCATCATCCTCTCCCCATCATCCGTTTCCCATCATCCGTTTCCCATCATCCGTTTCCCATCATCCTCCACCCATCACCCCTCCATCACACCCCCCGTCAACCCCCCCATCACTCCACCTATCTCCCCTACCCATCACCTCTCTCCATCATCCTGACCCCATCACTCCCCCCGTCCCCCTCCCCATTCACCGCCCCCCATCACCACCCTCGTTCACCCTCTCCCATCCGTACCCCTCGCAGGACTTTGACGTGGACGACCAAGTGCTGCCACTGCAGCCGCTGCTGGACTACGTGGCACCCGAGCTCACACGGCGCCCCACCATCAACCGCTCCTCCGCTGCCGCCTCCCGGGACGCACTCGCCAGTGTCGACGTCTTCTCCCTCGCGCTGCTCGCCTTCCAGCTCATTGCGCGCCGCCGCCTCGTGCACGCCAACAACAACCTGCGCACCGTGAGTGCACCGGGCCTGCTCTGAGTGCAGCCCAGCAGCTGTGAGCGCACCAGGCAGCCGGTCATGTGTGTTAATTCGTTCAGGCTTTCACTTTGCCCATTTCGCTTCCTTTCCTGTGCGCCCATTCCCTCGTTTATTTCCAACCCTATGCATGGCGTGCAGTACAACAACCGGGTGGGGGGGCTGAGAACCGAGTCACTAGCGGGCATACCTATGGAGCTCGAGACAGACCTGCGCCGCATGCTCGCCTCTGAACCTGCCGCCCGCCCGACCGCCTCTGAGTTCGCCGGTGAGCCCACCCTCCTTGCCTCACCTTTCCCTGAAGCCTGGAGCTGTGGCCCACGCCTGCTCCCCACATCCCCTTCCTCTGTCATGCGCACTCTGCACTTCTTTCAACCTGCCACTGCCTCCTGCCTCGCTCTCATTCCCCCATGCCTTGTGGCTCTGATGCTATTCCTAACTGCCAAGCACTGCCCTTCCCCCCACCATCTTCTTCCCCCTGTGCTCCCATGCGCCCATCCCCTCCCCGCTTTCCAGCATCGCCATTCTTCACGGAGGACATGCGTCTGCGAGCCCTCAGATTCCTCGACCAAATGATTGTACGATGTGCCCTTGGTTCCACAAACCCTTCCGTGCATGTGAATGCCATGATCTTCGTTTACCCTTCCTTTGTGGAACGGTATGGGTCGTTTGTCATTCAACAGACAACATTTTTCCTCCCTCATCCGTACATCCTCGGCCTCGCTCTCCACTCCCCCCAACCTCCTCTCACCCCTCACCCTTCCTCAACCCTCTCCCCCCACCTCCCCCCACAGGGCCGGGACAACAACGCGAGGGTGGAGTTCCTAAAGTCGCTGCACAGCATCTGGGCGGGGTTTGACAGCCGAGTGCTGCGCTTCAAGGTGCTCCCCGCTCTCCTGGAGGAGCTCAAGAACCCCGCCACGCAGCTGCTGGCGCTGCCATGGGTGCTGGAGGTGGCAGAAGCACAGGACGCACAGGACTTTGAGCTGCGCACTCAGACGCTGCTGCTGCCCGCCATGGAGCATGCGGGTGGTGATGTGCTGCTGCTCTTCATCAAGCACCTCCCCGCCATTGTCTCCAAGGTGAGCTATTGACGGCTCTAAGATGGGCTGTAGTCCCCAAGGTGGCCCCATTCACGGCTCTCACCATCATTCATACTACCACTCACCCCACTGCCATCACACTGATTTATTCTCTTCTCGCCAACTTCTGTTTTTTCCCTTTGTCTCCCGCTCTGTGGGGCGTGTCTCTGCATGCGGTGTGCTTGTCTCTGAGTGCCGTGTTTCGCTTCTCTGCCTCCGCTGCAGGTGTCACCACCCATCCTGATGTCGCACGTGCTGCCCATGATAGTGCGAGCTTACGAGGACGCCGACCCGCGCCTGCAGGAGGAGACACTGCGGCGCTCAGCGGTGTTGGTGTCGTCGCTGGACTTTGAGATCGTGCGCACCGTCATCATGCCGCGCGTGCACATGCTCGCCCTCCGCACCTCCGTCGCTGCCGTACGTCCCACCGCCGCCCCTCTATTATAAACTCTCTCACTATCTCTCTCTTTTCACTCCAACACAAAACCCTGTCCCCTCCCCCCTAACCCTACTGTCTCCTCCATCTTTCTTTCCCAAACACTCGTCTACCACTTCCCGCTCCCCCAATCTCTTGCGAACTGTGTTTTTTCCCTTCCAGCCGTCCATTCTTTCCCTTCTAACTGTGCATCTCCCCTTCTCCCTGCCTCCCCGCCCACGCTCCTATGACCGCGCCCCCCACCAGGTGCGGGTGCAGGCGCTCATCTGTCTGGGCGACCTGATACCCAACCTGGACAAGGCGGCCGTGATGGACATTCTGCAGACGTGTGTTCGCTGCGCTGCTGTCGACCGCTCGCCCCCCACGCTCATGTGCATCGTTGGCATCGCTGACATCATCCAGAGGCAGGTGGGTGCTGCGACAGGTTCGTGCTCAGGCAGATTCGTGATGATGCAGGTGGGTGCTGAGGCAGGTGGGTGCCTGTTTTGTGTGCTTTCTCCACTGCCTCTGTTTTTCCATACATGACGTTTTATCTCTCCATCACCCACTATGTGGAGTAGCTCTAACAACTTCATTCTCTCCCCATCTTGCATGGTGTGTGGCCTGGCATGGCATGGCATGTGGTATGGCATGGAATGGCATGGCAGTACGGAATAGAGTTTGCAGCGGAGCACATACTGCCGCTGCTGTGCCCCATGCTCGTGGTGCAGCAGCTCACAGGCCCGCAGTTCGCCCGCTTCCTCAAACTCATCATGGACGTTCTCACGTGTGCTCCCTGCCTCCCACTCTCCTCTCCCCCTCTCCTCTCTTTTCATCCCTCTCACTCACGCACTTACCTCAGTAATCACTCACACACACTCCACTTTCACGCTTGTAGTGCACTGCACAGGCACTTTCCTTTGCTCGTCATCCACAATACGAGCGTTTGCCTGTCAGTCTTGGCCTTGCTGCGTATGCTTCTGTTCTCTCTTCCAACAGCTTTTTCTCCTGTGCAATGTCACACATGCCATGTACCATGTCCCATGTCCCTTGTGCCATGTCCCCTGCCTCGTGTGCTGCGGAGCAGCAAGATACAGGACAAGAGGGGCGTGTCATTGAGTGAGGCGGACTCCATATCCCTCGACCTCGCATCAATGGGCATCTCCACGCCCTCCGATGCCACCACCGCCTTTGATGACAGGTCGGCCCGCACCCTCCATTGGAGTCTCGTTTGAAAATTCCCTGAATGTCCCACCCTGTGAATCAAATGTGGGTTATTATCTCCTCACAGCCTCAAATGTGGACATGGTGATTTTAGCCTCCCCATTTGTCCTCCTGCCATCCGCCTCTCCTCCCGTTCCCCACTGCCTCCCACACCATCCCCCTCCCCCTTCCCTCCCTCCACCAGCGCCAAGCCAGCATGGGACGCACAACCAGACTGGGCCAAGGCACCCGCCTCCTCCTCCGCTGCCCCCTCCGCCCCCTCCTCCTTCTCTGATCCCTTCGCGTCCGCTCCCCCCATCTCCTCCACCCCCGCTTCATCCGCCTCCTCTGCTTTTGGCACCCCAGACCCCTTTGCGTCCTCTGCTCTCTCCTCCGGCCCTGCCCCCAGCCTTTCATCCCTGTCTTCTAATCCTGCAGGCGGCATGGGGGGCATTGGTGGGGGTGGCTTGGGGGGGATGGGAGGAGGCGGTATTGGGGGCGGCAGCAGCATAGGCGGTGGGGGTATGGGAGGCCTTGGCAGCGGCTTGGGAGGGGGGTTAGGGGGGGCACCTATGGGAGGGTCACTAGGAGGGGGGCTGGGAGGAAGCACAGGGTTCGGTGGGGGGCTGGGAGGAGGCATGGGTGGAGGGTTGGGAGGGAGCGCAGCAGGAGGAGGGGGAGGTGCGGGTGCAAGTGACCCCAACGATCCCTTCGCAGACTGGCCGCCCAGAAAACCGCAGGCAGCAGCAACGCCAGCAGCAGCAATGAGTGCTGCTTCCCGCCCCCTGGGCGGCGTGTCCAAGGCCAGTGGGCCACTGGATATGGATGACTGGGGCGGCAGCTCCTTCCAGTCTGCCGCCCCGCCTGCCACTGTTGCCAGCACAGGCATGGGCATAGGGATGGGCATGGGAGGGGGAATGGGGGGTGGGGGCATGGGAGCAGGCATGGGTATGGGAATGGCTCGGCCTATGGGGGGCGTGGGCATGGCTCCAGGGTTTGGTGCCTTTCCTGCTGCTCCCATAGGTGGCATGGGTGGCATGCCTGCAATGGCTGCCCCCCCTGCTGGTGGGGCTGTGTATGGTGCGATGCGGTTCGCCCCTCCCCCATCGCAGGGCTTCCCTGCCCCACCTGCCTCTTCTGCCATGGGCTCTGGTTTCACACCACCTCAGCGCCCTGCTGCTCCCCCTCAATCCGGAGGCGCTCTAATGGACCTCCTGTGATGTGCCATGGCTGCTCAAGAGATGCACGCACTGCCTGCTCTGCCATGGAATCGAGAACGAGAAAGGTGGCTTATAGGAGAATTATATCTGCCTATCACGAAGTAACCTGTGGTTGGTTTCCTTAATATGTAGAAATAATGTGGTCGGGGTGCTCTAATATGAGTTTTTGCTTGTCCACGCTAGGATGAGAATGGAACACACTTCCTGGAAGATCCTACAAGAAGGCAATCTTCTCGTCCTTGGGAGATGCTTGGTGGTGGTGGCTCTGCGATGGCTGCCTTGTAGTGTCCCTGCCCCAACAGTGCTCATAACTATCTGTAGTGGTGCATTTAGTGACAATGCACTCGGTAAATTGTGCATTGTTTATTAGGGCTTGAGTACTGCTACCATACCCGTCAGCCCCCGGATAGAAGCGCCCCTGGGGGTATAAAAAAACAGTGTTTTTTAGGGGGTGGGCTTATAATTGAGGATTTTTATAAGCGCCGGGGCTTATATAATGACATATGAAATCTAGTTTTATTTACACCAAAGTGTTCATCTCGTCCTTGCGATTTGAATCGAATCGATATCGTAGAGGGCAATGAATGTGAATTTCGCGTAAATTGGCAGTGGCTGAATCCCTGCCAACACACACAGTCAGAATGAGTCATATTGACCCCATGACTGCTCATTCTGACTGGACACGAAGGCATTGAGTCGCGCGAGGGTGAAGGGATTCGAAATTCTGGAATATATATTGCACTGCCTGCGTCAGCAGGCAGTGCAATGAGTCAGCGGGCAAGGAAAAAAATAAAACCCATTCGGGAGGCATCAACCCTAAAGTTTTAGGGTTGAGGCTCCCAAATGGCATGGAGTCCGAATGGGTTTTAGTTTTTTTTTCTGCCCGCGGTCAGCATGCTGGCTCACTCGGTAGCGTCGTCTAGCGAAATGGTAGCGCTACCGAGCGCTACCGACGTTACCAAGTGCAATATATTGAATGTGGGGATGCAAAATTGTGTTTCGTTACAGCGTTTCCAGTAAAAATAAAACAAATATTACAGAGGGTGGCGCTTATAATCGGTAAGCCGTTAGGGGTGGGCTTATAATCGAGGACCGGATATAAGCGCCATAAGCCTTTTATAAGCGCCGGTGCGTATCATAGGCCTGCGCTTCTATCCGGAGGCTTACGGTACCAGGCCCTCAGATTGGTTTGGGGGTACACTGAGGCCTCAGGGCAGTTTTTAGGAAATCAGAATCTGCCCTGAATTGTCAGGGCTGCACAGGGTGAGGTATCCTGAAATGTCAGTGCTACATTTGAGAGTATCCTGGCAGCTCAGTGCTACATTTCGTACAATCCTGTATATTTCGCGCGTGTTATGTTAGCGGGGATCGAAATGCTCTCCACATTCGAAGTGTGTAATTCTGGGGTGCAGCTGCAAGTGGCTGGCAGTGCAAGTCGCTGGCAGCTGCATGGTGCGAAAGTGTTACAGCACAGTACAAGGAGATGGCGAAGGTGGCGGTGAACATGGTGGGCCAAATTGGATGGAACATCGAGTCGAACATGAAGTGTTGTAGTGGGTAAAGCGAAAGATTGCTACGCAGTTGGTTGCCTGCTCGATTCCAACTGGCTCCATCATCCGAAGCGTTCGCCTTGTACACTTTTGGCCCCGAAACCCAGGAGATTTTTCGTACAGTACATCTCGCTTCAGGGCGAGTTCGACATTATCCTGAGTCGTCAGGGCTGAACCTACAGCGTTATCCTGAGTTTCAGTACGCAAAATAACCATTATACTGATTTTACAGGACAAGTAATTCCCTTATGCTGTTTTTTCAGGAGAAGCACACGACACCTATCCTGAATTCAGGAGAATCAGGATAAATTATCCTGATAACATAGGCCCTGTACGGTACCATGAAGTTGTACTTCAATTTGACACTACTCGTCCATGCAACTACTCGTCCGTGACGCGCTCATTTGGAGGATTACAGGTGTGCTTTAGAAAAAATACCAACTTTCAACTATCAACTGCGGAAGTGACACGGTACACTTTTTTCATGGAACTACACTTAGCGGATGGACAAAACAGGCGGCTTCTCATCATCATGCTCCACAACAAAACTATGTCAAGTTGCCCACATTGGAGCTTGTTGGCAGGAAACAGCTGGCAAGCACATGCATGTGCACAATGCATGCATGCACCTACTCGTCTGTGACGCAGCCTTCAGACGCTGACTTGACCGTCTTGATGTACTGCCATGGCCAGGGGGGAAGGGGTGACAGCACAAGGCACAAAGCACGGTGCGTGAGCAAAGGAAGGGATATGAGCTGGCACTGCACACAAATGGGGCGATGCATATGAATGTGGGGATGAGTGCAGATGGCACGTGATGCAGGACTCATGCACTGATTTGCGCACGAAGCACTGACTAAAACATGCAGCGACTTTTGCAGAGGCCCACACACCTTGTGCAGAGGCCCACACACCTTGTGCAGAGGCCCACACACCTTGTGCAGAGGCCCACACACCTTGTGCAGAGGCCCACACACCTTGTGCAGAGGCCCACACACCTTGTGCAGAGGCCCACACACCTTGTGCAGAGGCCCACACACCTTGTGCAGAGGCCCACACACCTTGTGCAGAGGCCCACACACCTTGTACAGAGGCCCACACACCTTGTACAGAGGCCCACACACCTTGTACAGAGGCCCACACACCTTGTACAGAGTGCCGCGAGTGGCCTTGAGAGGCGGTGCCACCCAGTTGGCACGGCGGCGCTGCAGCTCCTCCTCGCTCACAGCCATGTCCATGGCCCTCTTCTCCACGTCGATGGTGATCACATCCCCGTTCTGCACGAGCCCTATGGGGCCGCCCACCTGCGAGCACAGGAGGAAGAGGGATAGAGTAGGAACAAGGCATGGTCACGGGGGAGACGGGGCAATCCGGGGTGGGGAGAGTGAGGGGTCGGCAGGAGTAGATGTGAGGGTGGGAGGGATGGAGGGGAAAGGGATGAAGGAGATTATGTAGTGTGGAGCGGTAAGGAGAAAGGGAGGTAGGGAAGGGACTGGGCAGCACAGGGCTGGGCACATGGTGGAGGCAGGAGCAGGCAGCGAATGGGGAGGTGCCACGTGTACCTGTGCCTCGGGGCAGACGTGGCCGACCACGAAGCCGTGAGATCCACCGGAGAAGCGACCATCCGTCAGCAGCGCCACCTCCTGGTGGGGGGAAGGGCGGAGAGCGGTGGAGGGGAAGAACAGGGCATTCAGAAAGGTGAGCCACATGAGCTGAGCAGGAACCAGTGCAAGGGGAATGGGTCTATAGCACGAGGGGGAGTGCGGAAACAGTGCATCCAGGCACTCAGTAGCATCTATGCACGCAGCCTCACATGCCCATGGCCGTGCACGTGCCACGCCCTTTCTTCCCCCATGTCACCCCCGCTCCCACACCCAACCTCCCCAACCCATCTCCCAACCCCACCATTACCTTGCCGAGCCCAGCGCCCATGATGGCCGAGGTGGGCGTGAGCACACACGTCTAGGGAATCCATGTGACACACTCATCCCAACCTCCTCCCCCCCCCCGTGTTACCTTGCCGAGCCCGGCGCCCATGATGGCAGAGGTGGGGGTGAGCATCTCCGGCATGCCCGGCCCGCCCTTGGGCCCCTCGCCCCTGATCACCACCACCGCTCCCTGTGGGGGCGGAAAGGGACGGGAGAGGAGGGGGAGGAGGATTGGGAAAGGGCAAGGTTGGGAGTGGAAGGGGGGGAGAGGATGGGAGGGGAAGGGAAGTTGAGAAGGAGAGTGAGGGAGAGAGGAAAGGAATGGGAGGGGTGGGAGAGGAAAAAAGACAAGGTGGGTGGGTGGAGTGCGGTAGGTTGGGGGCGAAAGCTCATGTGGGCATGGCATGTGAGGAGGAAAAGCTCATGTGGGCATGGCAGGCGTATGAATGTTGAGGCAGTGGGAGTAGCGCGGAGGCTGGATGGAGCACGATGCCTGTTGGCTTGGCCTGGGGCAAGTGCGCTTGGTTGGGCTGAGATGGGTTAGGCTGACTAAGTGAAACGGCTTGGGGTGGTGAGGGGTGGGGCGGGGTGTGGTGTGGTGGGGTGGCACCTTGAAGCTGTTGGTGTCGGCGGAGAGCGCCTCCAGCATGGCCTCCTCGCCCTCAAACACCAACGCGGGGCCTGGTGGTGCGGGGGGGTTGGGGGTGGGGGGAAGACGGCATGGGTGAGCAGCCACACGCGACATGCATGGCACATGAATCAGTGGCGACATGTGGCATGCACGCAACACGGCAACAGAATCTGAGTGGCAGGCAGTGTGACGTGCAGGTGGCAGTGAGACGTGCAGGTGGCAGTGTGACGTGCAGGTGGCAGGGAGACGTGCAGGTGGCAGGGAGACGTGCAGGTGGCAGGGAGACGTGCAGGTGGCAGGGAGACTGTATAATCAAGGCTTCCCCCGCCCTCCCCGCACCCCACACCCCCCCACCTTGGAAGTAGAGCCCCTCTTTGCCCGTGATCTTTGCCACCGACCCCTCCGGTGCCAAATTTCCGTACAGAATCTGCGAGTTGGAGGGAGGAGGAGAGGAGGAGGGGATGAGGGAGAGAGGTGGAGGCGAGGGACAGAGTATAAGTGCGCGAGCAGACTGGGAGAGGAACGAGGATGGGGTGGAGGGGATTCGGGAAACGGGCATGAGATGTGATGGGTTGAAGGGACACGGTGTGGGATGGCATGGTGTTGGGTAGGAAGGGGAGAGAGTGCCAGCTGTCAATGCAGCCAACTATCATGACAGCTGCTGGCTCACCTGCAAGTGGCCGGTCTGCTTGATGGGCTCCTCCACTGGGCGAATGACGTCCTGCCACGTGGACACAGAGGGGAAGGGACAAATCGCATGCACTTTGATAACCAGCTGCTGCGGCACCAAATGTGGGCGGCGAAGGAAGAGGGCAGGGGAATCGGGAACAGGAAGCTTGGAAAGGGAGAAATTAGGAAAGGGGGCAAGGAGGGGGAAGGAGCGGGAGGGAG